CTGCGCGGTAAACGCGAAGCGGGAAGCAGTAGAGAGCGAGGGGGAGCGGGAGAGAGGACTGAGGCGAAGGGGGGCTGGAGCGTGAGGGCGAGAGAGAGAGAGAGAAAGACTGCAATGCTTCCATGCCTTTGCATGCCCATGACCAATAATCCCTTTGGCTAAGGAGCGTCCCGCAAGTGGCGAAACGTCAGCCCGATACTGACATGATACTTACATCACAATGCTTTCATCGTCTGGCCTGACTGCCTGAACTTGATCGAGGGGGGGGCCTTACAGTAGAGGAGGGCTGGAGGGAGGACCAACATGCAATCAAACCACAGAAAGTGGCTGGAAGGCGGTGTGTCCGTCGACGGCCCGGAGGGGGACCACACGACACCGGTGGCCACCCTTGGCGGCGCGCAGAGGGGGGGTTTGGGGAGGGGGGAGGGCCTCTTGGAAGGAGGTTGCTTCCGAGAAGGCACGGGCCGCACATCTACTGACCAGGCCCGCGCCTTCTAAGAAGCAGGGGCGCTTCCAAGAAGCCTTCCCCCCTCCCCCTCCTCCTCCTCCTCCTCCTCCTCCTCCTCCTCCTCCTCCTCCTTCCTCCTCCTCCTCCTGCTCCTCCTCCCTCCTCCTCCTCCTCCTCCTCCTCCTCCTCCTCATCCTCCTCCTCCTCCTCCTCCTCCTCCTCCTCCCCCCCTCTGCGCGTGGCCGACCCGGAGAGGACCACACGCGGCTCGGGAGACCGAGAGGTACCGGTGGCCCTACTCCCTGGACCTCTCCCGGGGTGCGTTCTGACCAGGAGCTCGAGGCGAACCCGGCGGTGGCGACGAGGGCCGCCCAGGACGCCCAACAAGAAGTAGACGAGCGCGTTCCACTACTCGCAAAGTGACCACTCGCAAATGGCCCGGATCCGCCGCGGGGGATCTACGATACATTACACCGAAGCAGACATGTGCTTTTCGGACCTTTGCGAGCGGGCACTTTGCGAGTAGTGGAACGCGCTCGGTCCATAAGGAGAGAACGAGGGCAGGACAGAGGCACGGGTGCTTCTCCCCTCCTCTGAGAAGGGGCCCTGGGACACACAAATGAATACACACAAATAACAGGATTGCCCATGGTTGTGCAATATTTTCTGGGTTTTGTCTTCCCCCCACTTCCCATACTTTCCTGGGGAATCGAGGGTTGATTGTGTCTGTGCTTCTCCCCTCCTCTGATACCCTCTGCGCGTGGCTGCCCAAAGGGGGAGGACCACGCGACGCACCGGTGGCCGTGCGTCGAGCGACCGCCCAGAGGGAGGGGGCGGCGCGAGGCCGGCCACCTGGCCCGGCGGGGGGTGGGCCGGGGGGGCGGCCCGCCCTCGTCAGCCCAGGGTTGCGGATGCCACGGCAATGGACACCCCAACAGTCCTGTCACTGAGTGTAGCATGTGTTCAACGTGTCGGAACATGTTCCACACATGCCTTACGCCTGTGCTCTGCATGTTCAAATCGTGTTTAGCACATGTTTTAGACACATGGAAATTATTTGGCAACGCGCGTCCTCTCCACTGATCGTCCTCGGCAGCCGCTCAGGCCGCCTCTGCCGGCTCCTGCGGCATCGACGCTGGTCGACGCCGGTCGAGGCCGAGTCGATGCTGGTCGACGCTGGGCGGCGCTGGATCCGCGCCATCCCACCGGTTACCCGAGGCGAGAATCGGCGCCGGTGCACGCTGAAGACGCAGTTGCGAGGCACGAGGGCACGCGAGGCTCCCATGATCTGCGACCGAGGGAGTGACTCTCAGGAGGAGGGCTTACTTCAGAACCCAGTCTTTGGTTACCTCAGCATTCTGAGCTTACTTCAGAACCCAGTCTTTGGTTACTCTCAGAAGAAGAGCTTACTTCAGAACCTCAGAACCCAGTCTTGGTTACCTCGGCAGTATGAGCCCACGGTGCTCGTGCGGTCTCCGAGGGGGTATCTCGACAACCGCTCAACAGACCCGCCGCCGCGCCTGCAGCGGTCAGTGCGCCAGGCCCCTGCATTGTTTTCGATAAGTTCGCCCCGCGGGGGGCAAAATCCGCCGGCCCCCTTGTGGCCCCACCAGGCTGCGCGGATTAGGTTTCTTTCCTGTAGCCTGCCCCAGTTCCAGTTTCCGGTTCCCAATGTTCCAATACTACGTTCTGCTTCCTGTCATAGATTGTTGCTCTCCGCGCGGAGGGGGGAACGAAGACCGCCCTGGCCAGCGTCCCTGGGACACGTAGACAAATTCTGAAGATTCGCACGCATGAAGCAGGGTAGTCTGGCGTGGACTGAACATTTCTCAGGGGGGAGGGCTCAGGGTGGAATCCGTATGGGCTTCTGCACCTCGAACATCAATCCGCCCTGTGATTGACCCCTTGCGGATTCAAGCCCCGAAAATCCATCGAGACGGCATTTCAGATTTCACCCTCTGCCCTCCACCCAAAGAAAATGCCCGGGTAGATTGCGCCAGATTCACATCCCCGAAGCCAGAATCCCTGGTGAGTGAAGCCAAATTCGTGCTG